TGCCATTTGTTATCGTTTGTGGATTGCTGAGAGAGAACGGCCCTGGTTGCAAAGCCTGAGCTGTCTGCCTCGACACAATATGGGAGGTCATCATCTGGGAATGCAAGGATAGGTGCAGACATTGCCAATCTCTTTATGGTGTTGAAGGCAGCCTGTTGAGATGGTCCCCATGTCCAAGGTGTGTCCTTGCACAGCAGGTCAAACATTGGATGAGCAGGTGTGAGAACCTTTCAATGAAACAATGGTAGAAGTTTGCGAAACCAAGGAATGACTGCACCTCCTTCTTGTTAGGCATTGGCCACTCAGCAACACCAGCAACTTTGACAGGATCCATCTTGGCTTTCCTGTGCAAAATAATGAGACCTAGGTATTCAATCTTGGTCTTGTCAAAGTCGCACTTGTCAGGACGCAAATAAAGCTTGTGTTCTCTGAGACACTGGACCACCTTCCATATGACTTCGTAGTGATTATCTAAGTCCTCTGAAAAGATCAGAATGTTGTCCAGATAAAGGCACACGACACCTTCAGCAATGAGGTCATGAAAGATGTTGTTCATCATGGTCTGAAAAGTGGCAGCGCTGTTAGTGAGGCCCAAAAAACATTCCTAAAGGTTCAAATAGTCCCCAATTTGTCCTGAATGTTGCTTTCCACTCATTGCCCTCTTTGATCCTGACATTGTTAAAGCCCAAATGGACATCAAGCTTGGTAAGGTCACTGGAGGCATGCCAAAATTTTCTGACCCAGAAAACCATACAGAAATTTTTCAGAAATGGTTGAGTATGCCAATGATTTATCTGGATGGGAAAACTGTGTGAAAATAGAATGTGTGCCAATTATTTTCTGATCCCAGGAAATTTTAATAAGATCACTCAGAATAACTTAGAAATTGTGAGGAAAAACATGGGAAAACATGGGGAAAAGAGTTTTCTCAGGAATTTTCACAATTTATTCTGAGTGATCTTATTAAAATTTCCTGGGATCAGAAAATCATTGGCAAACATTCTGTTTTCACACAGTTTTCCCATCCAGATAAATCATTGGCACACTCAACCATTTCTGAAGATTTTCTGTATGGTTTTCTGGGTCAGAAAATTTTGGCATGCCTCCAGTGAAGGTAGTGGGCCCCTCGTAGGCTGTTGACAAGGTCTGAAATTAGTTATGATTCAGGATGAATATTTCTTTTGCCTGGTGACTCTGGTCATGCTGTGTGCCTTGTCTCTATGATGACTACTTGCTCCCAGTCACTCCAATCCCTCCCAGTCACCCTAGTCACTCTAATCCCTCCTAGTCACCCCAGTCACTCCCAGTCACTCCAGTCAGTCCTTGCTACTGGTCACTCAAGGCTCTGCTTGCTCTGGATCACTCCTGTCACTCCCCGCTCTGAGTCACTCCTTGCTCCTCAATGCTCACTCTGAGTCACTCCGTGTTCCCACCTCTTGGTTATGATTCGGGATGAAGATTTTTTGCGCCTGGTCACTCTGGTCATACCTCACTCCTCACTCCTCAATCCTCACTCCTCACTCCTCAATCCTCACTCCTCACTCCTCAATCCTCACTCCTCACTCCTCACTCACTCCTCACTCCTGGACACTGCTTGCTCCATGATTCCATTTCAGTCCAATTCATTCCGATTTGTTGCAATTCAGTCTGATTCTTTCCGATTCTTTTCGATTCAGTCTGATTCTTTCTGATTCAGTCTGATTCGTTCCAATTCTTTCCAATTCAGTCCAATTGTCCGATTCGTTCCGATTCAGTCTGATTCACACATTCCTAAGATTTTCCTGACCCAGAAAAACTTGACTTAATTTTCTGATATTCTTTTATTTTTAGACCCATTTGCCGCTTGGGAAAAATGCAGAAATACATAAAATTTTCCATTCAGTTTTCCTGTCTAGAAAATCTAGAGAAGCATATGCATTCTCATGTGAGTTTCATGGTGATTTGCTACACCCAGAAAATAATAGATTTCCTTGGAATTCCCCATATCAGGGAATGCCAGGAAAATCATACTTTTTCTGTTGATTTTAATGCAATTCCTAGGGATTTCTGAAAATTTGATGGGCTCAGAAAATCTTTGGAAAACCATCAGTCTGCCAAGAATTTGACTAATCAGAACAGCTTTGTCATACCCATGATTTTCCCATGTTTTTACTGAATGTTGTCCCAAGAAATTCCCAGAGATCTTCTGAAAGTTTCCCAGAGCCAGAAAATCCTTGGCAAATATGAGATTTTCACTTAATTTTCCTGTTCAGAAAATCACTGGCAAACCCAACCATTTCTCAAGATTTTCCTCATGGTTTTCCCATCGGGAAATTTTTTCCCTGCCTCTAGTGGTTGGTATCGTAATTAGTTGTCAAAATTCAGAGTGGCCCAAGTTAGCAAACATGTCATGAATCTATACCATTGTAGGCAGATCTGCCTGCATGCTCCACAAGGTTCACGGTTTTTGCCATGTTTTCGGGACCAAGAGAGCCTTATGTAAGTGACTCGAGGGGCTCCTGAGTCCTATAACATTGAGCATAACTAACCACGCACAAAGAATGGGCATGGCTTACATGGCATTACAAAAAAGCTTTACTTGAGCATAAGGTATCGTCATCCCTTCAAAATGTCACATCCTCCTCCAGTTGATCCTGGTCTAGAAGAGCAGTTTCAGAATGTGAGACTATGCCAGCGCGCAGGTGGCATATCCACTCCTACTCGTAAGCCTGTTTTTTTGACCAATAATGTCTAACAACCACAATGACACACTGTTTTGAACTTCCAGAAATGCGATTGCGGGAGCGAAAACCAGCCACAAATAACACTGCCTCTTCTGCATTGCTGCATGCACAAGATGGTCACAGTTCAGAACCCCCTTCACAGCCTACTGCCTCTGAGAATAAGTTTAACTCTTTGTCGCCTCCGCCAGATGTCCAATTAGGTGACACTACAGCTGTGACTGACATCAGTTCAGAACCTCCTTCACAGCCTAATTCCTCTGAGAATATGTTTAACTCTTCGTTGCCTGTGCCAGATGTCCAATTAGGTGACACTACATCCCAGCGACATTGGCTGTGATTGACATAACTGCAGCCATAACATCCAAAATGGATATCGATGAAGAGACGATCAATGGAGAGATTGATGAAGGGAGTGTTACACATCACATGCATCCCAGCGGGTGGCCTACTGACTTGCTGCAGTCATACCTCCTCCAGTCCATGGATCAAGCGATATCCAAGATTGGCAAGAAGAGAAGTCCATTATGGTAAGGCAATTGGAGAGTCACTAGCTTTAGCTCACTTCGTGGTCATGTAGGATGATATTTTGGACGACGATGGGTCAGCGGAAGATATGGTGTTGATTTCTTGAAAGTTTACTTCAAAGGTAGGTCCCGTTAAACTGTGGATTTCCATACCTCATGTTCTTAATTCTAGCTTGTAATGGATATAGAAGACATGAAGTCTATCATAAAGCGTATGGAGGCAGAGATCATGTGCAGCACTAAGGCATGCCTGACGGAGGACGACTTCGCAGATGACAAAGCCGACAGCCCTTGCAGGCATTCGATCCCGAAGAAATGCACCAAGGGAAAGAAGCTGAAGCAAGCATGGATTAACAAGCTTCAAGTGCGGCGCTAATATTCTCTCCTTCAAAACCGCACTGAATTGTCTTTCTACAGAGTGATATACACATCCATACAATGTATCTCATGGAACGTGACAATCAAACTGACCCTTACCCTCCGCCACCCCTTCCTGAACAGACTAAACAAACAATTCATCGAGGGCAATTTGTCAGTTGGCCCATCCCGTGCAAACTTTGTAGTGGACCTTGCAAATTCTTCTGCATTGGCATGGAACAAAAAGATAGCAACCATCTGTACTGATGACTTTGTGAACTCAGATTGGTATCAGTGCAAGGACAAGACGGAAATCAAGAAATGGTTCCAAACACATATGGATTATATAATCACGCTCTATGGTAACACGATGAAGGACACAAAGTCGAACATGACCATTGCTGCGTGCCTCAGTAAAGCCACGTGTCGTCATCAGAAACTCCAAGTAAGTTCCATTAACACCAGTGTTTACGTTGGCTCATTGCCTCTCTAGCTTTTTTACCACCACTTGAGGACTTGCAAGAGTCACCCAGACCTCAGATGACATGTCCAAGTGCTCAGGAACTTAGAAGTGGATAGTATGAGTTCGGATGAATCTACTGTCGAAGATGATGAGCGTGTTTACATCATGTTAAAGAAACCATGGAGGTCTGCTGCAGTTATGCTGTGGCTTCGTGACATCAACTTAGTACACCTTAACCTGTGTGTGATGGATTCAGGTCGTGTCACTTGTGGGAATTGGCCCCACATATGTCACAACTCCGCACACAACTCCAAAAGACTCCTGGTATCAGTTTACTTTTGGAAATGGATCCAAAAGACAGTGGGTAGCAGTGTCGTCGTTGCACGGCTACTTACACTGGTGTTCGGCTCAGTGCGCTTGCTATCAGCAGCAACAAAAGTAGAACAAGGACGAAGACGAAGACGTAGCGGTGATGATGATGATGACGTAATACGCTGATGTAAGCGTGGACGAGATACAACAGCAAATGTCATGTGATTGACAAAGCTGGCCTTGACGTAGACATAGCAGTAGACTTAGACTTAGACTTAGACAAGTGAATCCAACTGAAAGAGATGAATTTTTTTGGGTACACTAAGGCGAAACAGGCCTTATATACATGAGCAGAACAAAAAACAATGCGAGTATGCCATACAACGATGTTGTCGACAGCAGACAGGAGAAATGACTAACGGCGAGAGGCAGAAAACCAAAATAGGAAGGTGGTTTGTAAGGAAATGGAAAAATGAGTCAGGTGGTCGAAGAAATGAATAGAAATGTGGCAGCGAATTTGAAATAGAAGCCAGAAATAGAATAGAAGTGAGTCACAGACAATAGACCATGTGGAACAATTGGAAATAGAAGTACAGCCAAGAAGCAAGTGAGTCATGTGAAGAAAATGAGTCATAGCCGTCCAATAGGATTCCAGTTGCTTGTCAAATATCTCCGAAGATGAGCAAGTGAGTCATGTGACTTGATGACGACTCAGAAACATGTGAACCAATCACGACACTTGGATATGAATTTCCTCCAGAGAGGGAACAAAGACGAGTCCTGCTTGATGAAGTCCTTAGGCACATAACCGTAGAAAATCTCTGTTCCTGGTCTGTGCTCTTTGATGTACCAGTTATTCCTGAGGACGATATGATACCAACCATTCACTGGTTCAAAGTTTGGGTCAAAACCGATGATGTAGAAGGGAGCATGGAAGGTTTGATCGAATACCCATATGCAATCGTGAATGCGATAAGGAGGATATGAGGGGAATACTCAGAATGGACCTTCAGGAGATTCGACATATAGAGGATAGTACCGACGATGTGTGACTTGTGGAGGAGGACTGGGCAAATGAACATCAAGGGGAGAACATTGACTAGGAAGTTCAATGCGTGGCCCAATGCATATGTCTGGCTTGGCAGTCATCTGAAATGAATCATGGGATGTGGTGATGGCAATGCTGGATGGCATATTGAAAATAGAATCAAAGAAAAATAGATGATATGTCTGGCAGACTGGAGGTAGCACAGCAGATGATGGTCTGGCAAAAGCTGATGATGATAGGCGCGTGTCCAGTGAGTGTCTTTTGTAGTGTAGTAGGCGCTGTTGAGTATCATACTTGTCACTGGTCAAGGGTCTTTCAAAGACATTTTACAACACTGACTGACTCTCAACACCTGAGAAGATTGAAGGCTTGAACGCTCATTCAGAGCTTTATGACCTTTCTCACTCGGACACTATTGCGCAGTATGTATACTACTTTCTTTGTTACTTGACTAGGTTCTGACCGAAATAGGATCGTGTCTAGGTGGAAAGGCATGTGCGGCGCTCCTGCAACCCCAAAATGGTCATAAGGATGAAATGTAAAATTATGCTCAATATACATATACATGTTTTTGAACACTGAAATACGAGCCTTTATGACTTGATGAGCATTGATTCCTATGATGCCTTTGACACAAGCATGAATGAGAATAAAAAAATAGCCTACAAAACAAACGAACATTGTTAGTAAGTGGAGTGAGCGAATAGGCATGAGTAGGAAGTGCATACAGTGAGAAGCAGTCGTGATGGAGATAGGTCGGACAAGCTACTTTCAGTTTCATTGTACATCTGATTCTCCACTCATGATATTCTTAAAGGCCTGTATATTGTGGAGAAGCGAAAAAAAAAAAGCAGAGAGAAATGCGAGCTCACAGCTTGTGACCCTTGGCTGATGAGCCAGCGCCAGACTTAGAGCATCAAGGAGTCAGATTCTGTTTAATTTAGAGGTTATGTCCACTCACCCTTCTCTGGACACGAATAGCATTCTTCCAAGCCGTATATTCAATGTGCCATCCCACTTTCGCCGGCGCACTTGCTCCGTCACCCCACAAGCGTACCCGTACCACAAACAATCCCTGCTTTCAGTAATGTTGAAAAGGTCTGCAATATCAGTACAGGGTTCCCCAACAGGTGCTAAAGAACCTGGCGTTTCATTCGCAGAAGGCTGTACAGACAAGAATAGAGACCAAGGATTGGGAACTCGGGAGGTCTAGCTTGTGAATAAGAATAAGCATCTGGAATCAGATAATCGACAGTGGCGCAAGGGTATTGAGATGGTGGTATTGAAGGAGAAGAAAACATCAGCTGAGAAGGCAGAGCATAAGTTGTTGGGCAAGAGCGACCTCGAGATCAGCTAAAACCTGCGCTTTTGATATCTGTATAGTCGTGCTGTCCACCGTCATGTCATGTTAATAGTATCTCTTCCATCTTGCTTCGTCTGAGGGGTCAATGTCATTGTCCTCCTGGACACCTCTGCACTTCTGCTCGAGAGCACGGGCGGTAGCGCGGTTCTTGTGGGAGAGGACACAGTTGGATGTGACAAAGGTGATGAGGATGTCGAACATCGTGAAATTTGTGCGGGAGAAAAGGGGCGCATTCCTATCAAGTCCTCAGCCTAGAGAGAGAGAGCATTGAGATGCGCACATGACATTTTCCATGGCCAGAGGTTTCGGCATTAGCGAGGATCTGTTGCACAGGCTAGAGTACATGCACACGAGCCAAGCGGATGTTCTGTTTCAGGAGAAAGGGGTCAGGTGGAGCGAGTTTCTCTGTCTCTCCTATTGGGATCCTACCAGGTATCTGGTTTTTGGCTCTATGCACGGCTGGTTCCTCAACGACTTCGAAATCATGTCCGTACCATTTTTGGGGTCAGTTTGACTGAGCCATCGGGAGACGGTACCTCCACGCGAGGGCACACAAAAGGTTGTGCAGTTACTGGAGACGAACTCGTCCTTGCCCTGGAAGCCATTAGGGATGACTCTCAGACCGTGTTGGCAGCCATCTGCAAGCCTGTGCTCTTTCAGCTTTGCGAGGTTCGTGGCTTGAGACATGCAGGGACACGCTTACAGATGCAGTGAACATTGGCCAAGTATTACATATGTGAAAACGGTCTTGATGTTATTCTATGCTCACTCAAGATCTAGAATGACCACCCCGACTGTCTTCACGCAGATATCACCACGCATGAAGATACACCTGAAGAACCTGAATCCGAATCCAAGGCTGAAAAGCAGGATAGAGTCCTCATTAATGCGTGGTCTCGACTAATGAAAACTACTCAAGATCAATCAGATAAAGACACAAAGTATTTCATGAATTGCAGCAAGGATATCCTTACCGAACTGTGTGGCCAGCTGGACATCACCTCTCAGGGGGAGAACAAAATTGATTTAGTGAAGAAGCTTCTTGCAAAGGTCAATATTATAATATTTTTTATGTGTGCCTTTTTTTTGATAGCCCTGCATAGCAAATCGAAAGCCCTCAGGAGGACATACTGAAGGGCTTAGTGCTCGATGAGGATATGGTGCAGGAGATTGATGCAGATATCACTAGGATGGTCCTTCCATCTTGGGTTGTGGCGAGTCCTTCAAAGTTTGGGTCAAGTGAACACGGAAAGCTCACAGCTGATGAATGGCGTACAATGGCATCAATTCGACTTGCGATATCATTGCCATGTTTATGGGGTCCCCAAGGTGGTCGACACACACTAATGCTCAATAATTTCATGCACCTAGTTGTGGCAATAATCGTAGGCGGTGCTCTCACAATTGTGCACAAGCGGACAGAGGAGAATGGAGCAACTAAGTCCACTGCTGCTATGTACTGTGAGGCATTCCAATCTTATCTCCAGGGTATAATCGAATTATATCCTACCGCCAAAATGAAGCCTAATATGCATATGTCATATCGTATTGGCGAACTGTTGGAAAAGTATGGTCCCGTTCATAGTTGGCGAACCTTCGTCTTCGAGCAATTCATTGGGTTGATACAAAACCTTCCTACTAACATGCACTTTGGTTTGTCTTGTTATCTGCTCAAACTATCTGATACATTGGAGGTTAATTAGCTGTTATGTCCATTTGCAGGAGAACTCGAACATACCTTTATGTGATCCTTTTGTATGGCTGCAAACATGAAAGCTTTAGTAACTGACTCGGAATCGCAAGCTATTCAAGACCTTTGGCAAACATTTCTGACTCCGTTCGCAGGCAATGCTCAAGGCTTACTTCTATATGATTTGCTCAGTTTGGAGAGCAAGGCCTCTGAAACTTCCAGACATGAAGAAGTACTAAGCAAAGCAGCACGAAAACGATTTGACGCCAGCACTCATGACCTTCTTGCTAAATACCTCAATGGTGACAGCATGCGGGTACACGGTACTGCCCCATATGTCTTAAGCACTGATCATGACAATGAACAGATCCCGCTACAGCCGTTGGTGTGGTCCCTCACTCAATGCCGACGAGGAGGATTTTGGTATCAAAGGGTACGGCCAACAGAGTCAACTTGGAATCCGAAAGAGCCGTTTGGACCACACAGAGATAGTCACGTCCTTGTGAGGACACCAGCTGATACACTCCCGAGCCCCTGTTTAATCCAGGACATTTTCACACATCACCATGCCATTCCAGGGAACAGTGAGCCAATTGTCCAAACATTTTTCATTGTCTGTAACCGATAGGTCGCCAACCGAGCCCAATATCACGGAAAGGTGGCAGGAGGGGATTGAAAGATGACTTGTTCAGCCGCATTACCGTCTTGAAAGGAATGCCCTTGCTAATATAATAGTGGGCAACTGCATCACATGAAGAAAATTCACGCCGCAAGGTCTCCAAAGTGGTTGCCGCATCATT